GAAAACTATTTTTGTAGTTCTTTAAAAATTCTACTCTAACTCATTTCTTAAATGGACTTGGTGATAATGATGCGTAGATGACAGCCGTTGAAAGGGTGCATCGCAACTAATGCGAACAGTTTTTAACAGTTAAATGATCTTTATTTCTTGTGTTTGTGTGGTTTACATGTATGAATTTTTTTCAAGTGACACATATGCGTCTTTTCAACTTTAGTACAGTGAGATTTTAATTATTATTTACAGTTTCTAGTCCTATCAGGCCTATTTTAAAGTATGACCACCTTGGTGGGATTGGTATGATTTGAATTGGAAAAAGGAGTCTACTTATAACTACTATTTACAACTACAACTAATCTACAACTACTATATACACCTAACCTACTATATACAAATTGCTTATCAGAGCATGTTCTGATAAATTACATTTTTGTGCAAATTTAGTCTTAATTTCGTTAATTTTGGAATCTATTTTGGCAATGCCTGCCTCTTCATGTAAATTTGTTATTCTAGTGCCGAAAGGACGATCAAGAACCATCCTCAGCACTGTATTCTGAGCTACCTGAATTTTGTTCCTGTGAGTCTGTGCACATGATTCCCACACCAGAGCTGCGTAGAGGATCGCAGGTGCTATGATTTGTTTGTAGACGACCAGTTTGTTCACCCTTGAGAGGCGGGATCTGCGGCAAATCAGCGGATACAGACACCTAACCAAGGCGGAACACTTGACTACGGTTTTCTCCACATGCGAGCGGAATAGGAGCTTTTCGTCAAACAACATCCCGAGATAGGTTACTTCGGCGGACCACTCAACCCTTGTGCCATCCATGATTACAGTACAAGAGGGAGCCGGTTTTAGTTTGGGTGATTGTCGATGGAGGAACATGATCGCTTGTGTTTTGGAAGCATTGATTTTGATTTTCCACGTGGTGGCATAATCAGCAAAGGCGTTAAGGCATCGTTGAAGTTTGTTCGTTATTTCGCGAGGCATCCTTCCTTTGACGGCTATTGCGGTATCATCTGCGAACAGGAAGAACACGCAACCGTCACCGAGGGGAGGAATTTCGGAAGTGTAAATGCTGTAAAGCAAGGGGCCCAGCAGACTGCCTTGTGGGACTCCTGCTGGGATGGAAAACGTGTCTGAAAGACAACCATTCAACGATACCTTAAACGACCTTTGCTGGAGGTAGTTACGGGTGATTTTAACCAGATGTAATGGAAAGTTGAAGTTACAAAGCTTGTATACAAGCCCATTGTGCCAGACATTATCAAACGCTTTCTCAACGTCTAACAAGGCCATGGCTGTGGACTTGGATACAGCTTTGTTACTTCGGATGTTATTCATCACCCGCACTAGCTGGTGATTGGTGGAGTGCCCCTTTCTGAACCCAAACTGTTCCGGAAGGAGAATGTTATTTTCCTCGACAAACTTGAGCAAACGATTGAGAATGAGTTTCTCGAACAATTTGCTCAGCGCTGAAAGGAGGCTGATTGGTCTGTAGCTTGAAGCTAGCGTTGGGTCCTTCCCGGGTTTGCGGATAGGTATGATTTTCGCTGTCTTCCAGATACTTGGAAAGTAGTGCAGTTCCAAGCGTCTGTTGAAGACAGCAGCCAGCAGAGAGTGAACCTTCATGCTGAGATTTTTCAAAAATTGGTTGAATATTCCGTCAAACCCGGGGGCCTGCATGTTTTTGGTGCATTTCAGCGCTGAGCAAATCTGTTCCACTGTGATTCTATCCTCCGGAGGGATGGCACAAGGGAAGGAATCAAGGATGAGTACGCATTGCTCAACCTGAACTTCGAGCGGACTTTGGATGTTGGAGCCAAGCAAGTGCGATTTGGCAATATGCTCACCAATCGCATTTGCTTTCTCCTGAGGGGTGATTATGAGCCGATCGTCATCATTTTCATCTTTTAGTGGCGGAATGGGTTTAGGGTGCGTCTTTAAGACCTTGGCAACTTTCCAGAATGGTCTGGAGCGGTCGTCCAGATTCTGGACAAGCCGCCCGAAACTTTCGTTCCGGAGTGAGACCATTCTGGAAGCAATCTCCTTGTTCAGATCGACCATTTCACGTTTCCTCGCTTGATCTCCAGTCCTCTGAAACTGGCGTCTACGAACATTTCTCAGGCGAATCAAAAGTTGAGTGTGGGAATCAATGGCAATAAACTTACCCCTCACAGGAACTCGTCGGACACACGCCTCGTCAGCCACGGTTATGGCTTGGTGGAGCCCCTCCAACGCTCGGTCGATGTTCTCCACGGTATCAAGCGGCGGGTTGTCGATGATGTGCCTGTCTACCACGCGTCCAAACTGGGCCCAGTTTACGCGATGGTAGTCCTTGCGCAGGCTTGAAGCAGGATCCACGTTGCAGCCCAGTTCAGCCACCACCGGGTGGTGGTCGGAGCTGAGTTCGTTCAAGGCTACCGGCTTGGACAAGTCGATATTTGTCAGGAACAGGTCTAGCGTCGATGGATTGCCCGCCGGTGAGATAAATGTTGGTTCATCCGAAAACCAAACGGAGTACAGCCCATGGTAGTTCCGCCAGGCCTCATGGCGAGCATTCAGATCTCCTCCAACTATGAAGCAGGAACCGGTACGGGTGATGGTGGACAGGTCCTTCTTGAATTTAGCCGCTAGTCCACTGCTGGCGGCACATTGTCGAGGGCAGTAGACGGCGATGAACTGGACATATCCAGTCGACGATTCCACCTCCACACCAAGGGCCTCGATGATAGAGGTGCGGATATGGGACAGAGTGTGGTATTTTATTCCTTTCTTGACGACGACCGCAACACCACCCCCCTCCCCCCCCCCTGGAGCTGGTGCGATCAAGCCGGATAATGTTGTGGTCAGGCAACCAGAAGCTGTCGCCGGACTTAAGATGGGTTTCGGTTAGAAGACCCACGTCGATGCTATGCTTGCGGAGGAAGTCGGCAAGCTCAATCTGCTTAGCTCTTACAGAGCAAGCGTTCCAGGTAGCGATGGTTCGGGCTTATTGCGGCACTTACCTAGAGCACCGGTCATGTTGATAAAAATCTCCATCAGTTCATCTGCTGAGAACAGATCGGGATTGTTTGTTTGAGCTGTTGATTGCCTCCAGAATCCAGGAGGGGGAAGGAGAGCTTTGTCCAGCAGAAGATCCAGACGTTTCTTGAGGGGGCGCGGATCGCACCCTGGGATTCGCTTGTCCATGAAGAGGTGGAAAGTCCTCCTTCCTGAAAGCCGGGGCATTATCCTTCCTTCGTGCTGGTTGATTCTTGGTGGACGCTTGATTTCGGATGCGCTTGAAGTCCTCGCGTTTAGGGCATTCCTTATTGGATCCTTGGTGAGCACCACCACAGTTGGCGCATTTGGACGCTACAGCTTCATCCGCAGCACATTCGGAGGTGGCATGGTCTTGAGCGCAATTTCCGCAGCGTGGCTTAATGTTGCAGTTGCGGGTACCGTGTCCGAAGTTCAGACACCGCTGGCACTGAGTCACATCGCGATGGCCGCCACGGTATGCCTCCCAGCGAACGATGATGGAATTGATGGACCGGATGGCTTTCAGTGCGTTGAGCGTCACCGTTCCCTTCTGGAAGTGTACCAGGAAAAGGCTATCCGGATACGCCTTCACATTCTCGTCTCTTCTTGTCATTCGATACACGGCACTTGGGACCAGCTTGTACCGGTCCCTGATTTCATGTTCGATAAACTTCGGGTCGAAATTTGGTAGGCCCCTGATGACGACCTTGAACGGTTTTTCACCGGGGATGTCGTGGGTGAAGAATTCCACCTTGGAAGTCCTCAGGTGGGCGATGACCAAGTCATACTCTGCTTTGGTATGGAGCACCACCTTGGTGCCGACTCTGCCAAATTTGAATTCGGCTTTGACGCTCAGCGACGCCAGATCCGCGATGAGCTCGTTGAGATGGGCATTTTTCACCACCAGCGGAGGTAGCTTCACTCTTGCCGCGCTCATGTCGGCAGCATTTTAGAGGTGAACGCCTGAGCTTTTCCACATTTATATCGCTGTGAAGCAACTGTAAACTCTAGAGGGAATTTATATCTGTAACTGAAACCAGTTCGATTTTGTTTGCCAACCTGGTTAAAATGTCATATATAATTATCTTAAAGATAAATCGTCCAGCTCAAACCTTTGTAGGGGTAAGAGGTGGGACCATCATCATTATCATCATCATCATCATCAAAAAAAAAAATGCTGTAGTCTAGGGAAGTTGAATAGCGTCAATTATCATTCGTCACGAACCATTGAACCACAACAGTCGACAACTCCATGCAACAAAAGCACCTAACATAAACATTTACCAAAAACCATCAAGTGCATGCTGTCGAAAATAAAACTGAAAATCCAATCCACTCTCATGAAGACTCTCAAAGCAAATGCTCTAAATTTTATTGATTTGTATATTTCCCTTTCCCAACCGAAAAAGGGAACCACGCAATGGATTCCACGTTCCCTGAACCACCCACGTCGTTCTAGTTCCGATCCGATCCGATCGATCAGGAACCGGGCAGTCTCCCAGTGCATGAATTTGATACCATCCATCGTTGTAAAAAATATTCGGATTTTCCCAAGCAACTGTCCGGATTTGTTTAAAACTCCAAGCCCAACAACAGGGTTTATTAACTTATGATACCCACCACATCGGGATTCTGCTCGTTCCGTTCTTTTTTTATTGTTTTATTCTCCCAATAAATGTTGCTTACCCAGGATGCATGTTTACACTTTTGCACCAGATTGTGCATGAATGGTCTCCGTCGTCGTCGTCGAACGTTAGGCTTTCGGTTATGAATGATATCCGGAACGGGAGTATCGCATGGCCTGGTATGGGAAAACGGTTTGTATTCGATAATGTGTACACAATTCCGAGCATAAAACAAACAAACGATCCAAGTGGTTTTGCGTTCTCGTGCGTCTGGCGGACGCATTGCCGTGAGATTCTGTGTATGATTTATTGGGACTTTTCGGAACAAATTATGAAGCTTGTAACCCGATGCGTTTTCGATTTTGAATTTATTTATCCTTTATATAATTGTATCATCTTTAAATTATAATCCTTTTGTTTAGTGATTTCTCTCGCCAAATGCGTGATCTAATTTATCTATGTCTATATATTAGAACAGTCGTGATCGATAAGTAATAATACAGGTGTTGACCGTGCGTCCTTTCAGAATGTATATCCAATAGATTCATATATAAATAATAATAGTCGTGAATATGGTTACTGCCTGCTAAAGGTAATATCAAATAAAGTTCGAAAGCCATCGAAACACTTGGTTCATTCGAAACGCAAAGCTCGCCTGTATGCGCGAATCGCTAGTTGCTTTTATTTGTCTCCGTCTTTGCTAATTATTTCATTTTTATCATTATAAATTATCACTTTCTCTTCGGGACGGCACCGCCCATCGAAACAAAATTGCCAGCGAATTCAGCGCAAAGGGAAAACCTAATTAATACAGTCACAGCAGAGAGTATGGGTAGGTGGTTCTCCAAAAATAATGGATCAGGGCGCCGATTCTGGCTGAGGAAATAAATTTTGGAAAGTATTTTGTTTCGGAGCCCACTTTTGTAGGTTCAAGCGCGATGATGGTTGGCTATCCGGTTGCGAATCAAAATGTACACTTTTTCTCTCCATCTCAACAGTGTAGTGTAGTGTAGTAGTAGGTAGGTTTTAATATAGTACATACAAACTATGCTCAGTAGACGATTTTTGGTAGTCCAAAGTTGGGTGGTTGGTCTACATTTGCTTCTAGTTCCTAATGATGATTAGGAGGATGATGACAGCCAGGATGGCCGCTGCTATCAGTGCCAAGATCAACTTCTTTTTGCGGGCTTTGTTCTGTTAATGTGAGAAATTTAAGAAAAAAAATATATTTATCTTGCGTTACGTTATCCTAACTATGATTTTTCAAATAAAAATGTATGTTCCTTTTCGTTAGTCTTAGTGGTATCCTGAACATAATCGGATGTGTCCAATGTGGTGCTTAGCACTCGGTATCTCGAGCAAAGCCCAACATCAAAATGATAGCAACTCGAAATCAAATTTTAATGCCAACATCTAATTGAATCATAATTTGACTTCTGTTTACGATAGACAAATATGATATCAAATTTTGCTGTACTTTTGATCTACATCTAAATTTTCTGTTGTTTTTTAGGTTTGCAATGGTGTCTTTCTACAGCAAATCAACAATTGAAAATGATGTTACAGTTTTGTATTTATTGCCTTGGCAGAACATCTCATTAGATACTCGTTTTGTCATCAACAGGAAAACTGTACATCAAATTGAGTTTTCAGTTTGCTTTCACTGATAACAGAATTACATTTCAATTTGATGTCACTGGAAGATTTTTTTTTGCTCTCTATTTTGATATTGTAACCGTCAAAATGACCAAAACGACAACAACCTGAGTAATCATTATCAGATCTCTGACTTGTCGGTCATTGGTCTTATTTTTAATTCTGATATAGTTTGATGTGCCGCATGGGGGTTTGGTCCTAATCATGAACTTCCCCAGGGCTACCCGGAAGAAGGCCGGAGGTGACCAATGTGGTTCTGAACACTCGATTTGATTTTCGTTGATCTAGTGTTTGAGTTCTGATGAAGTTTGATGTGTCGCATCATGGGTTTGGCACAATTCAGATCCCTTGTTGTCTCAAAATCCATACCCACCGGAACTCGTTTCGGTTATAAAGGGTGTTCCAGAAAGTATAAGCACAGTTTATTATTGGAATAAAACTTATGTTAATGAACTCAAATTTTTATTTCATACTAGCTGAGTGTGCCCGGCCTTGCTCGGGATTAAATATTAGCTTGAATTTATGCGCCAATGGACCACTTTGTCAAGCAGTTTTGGCGTGACTTTCTACCAGCGATTTCAGAAAACTGGACCATCTAATTTCTATTTTTTGTATGAAACGCACAAATGTTGGCTACTTTTCTCGTGGTTCTAGGAGAAAAAAAATCTCAAAATAATGTTTTATTTCAAAGTTCAAGTGGTAGTAAACGTCATTTTAACTGCTCGAATGAAGTGGTTAATTAAAAAAAGCATGCTATATTGTACGAAGCCCCCCCCCCCCCACCGGTAATCTAAGGGGCTACCCCCTATGACCTCCACATGCAAAATTTGGTTCCATTTGCTTGATTAGTTCTCGAGTTATGCAGAAATTTCAGTTTCATTTGTATGGGAGCCCCCCTTCACAGAGGGAGGGTCTCGAACCATCATAAGAATCTTCCCTGTCCAAAAAACCTCTGCATACAAATTTTCACGCCGATAGGTTCAGTAGTTTCTGAGTCTATAAGTGTCAGACAGACAGACAGAGAGACAGACATATATATATATAATCGCTTGCCAAATCATCCATCGCTTGCCAAATCATCCATCGCTTGCCAAATTATGGCCCTCTTCGGTAAAAATTGACTTATCGGCATTGTCAACTTCCTGACCATCACGGACTGTGCACAGCAAAAAAATAATTTTGATATCACGTCAAAGTGGATGCACTACAATCAAGTCGGAAGTATTGTAGTATTGGTCTCCCGGAAGCGCCTTGTAGTCAAAGTTGACGTATGTTTCATCGTCCATAATAACACACGCCAATTTTCCACACAGCAGGCTATTATATTGCTTTCAAGCCCTCGGTTTGACGAATGCGGCTTATTTCTGACTCCGTTTCGACTTCTTCTGCTTCTTGAACGTTTTCAGCCCGTCTCTTGCCTTGGCACGTTGGACGTTACTCTTCGATGTTCTCAGTTTTTTTGGAAAATTTTCTCAAACGGCCACCGGTCCCGGTTTACGGCCAGATTTCAATGTGTCCTCGGAGGTAACTTCTTCATCGAACATCCGAATGGTGGTTTGGACTGCTCCTATACTTACTTCATCAATTTTCGCTAATTTTCTTACTGAGAGGTTGAGAATAGTGCACCATTTGTGTACGATCAGTTTGCGCTTTTCCGGGGAAATGCCTCGCATTTTGATGATTTTAGAAAAAAAAATGCACTTTGCGGACACATAAAGGCTGACTAAAAGTAAATTGGAACGCCCCTCGCGCGCCGATGGCACGCCTCTAGTGATGGGAATCGAAAATCTTTGACAGTGGTTTGTTTACACTTATATAGAGAACAACTGGTGCAAGTTTGATCAGAGTAGTCGATCGCGTTCAGAAATAACATCAAATGGAACTCGAAAGAAGAAAAAATACTGTGCACAAACACCTGAAAAATCCGGAGTGGTCCGGTTCCAAGCTGACTAAAGTGCTGAAGATACCAAAAACAACAGTTTGTCGAGAGCTCAAAACCTACAAGGAAACCCTGAATGTGGAAAGGAATCAGCGGACCTACGAAAAAACTGAAACCAGGGATTGTCAGCTGCGCAGCAAGGTGAGTTAAAGCCAACCCCGATCTTTCGATCTGAAATGTGGCCAGAAGATACAACGCCAACTTTCAAACGGTGCGGATCCTTGCCAAGGAAGCCGTACAAAGCCAGTAAACATCCGAACCGGAACATGAAGCAGAATTCCGTGGCCAGAAAGCGTGCAAGACTCTTGTACGACCGTGTTTTGACGAAACACAAGGGCTGCACTTTGATCGATGACGAAACATACGTCAAACTCGATTTAAAGCAGCTTCCCGGTCAAAAGTTTTACATCGCGACGTGGACATGGGGATGTGCCGGGAAGATTCAAGTTCGTGTTTGCCGACAAGTTCGAGAAGAAGGCCATGATTTGGCAAGCGATTTGCAGTTGTGGCCTGAAAACGGAACCATTCGTCACATCCTCGACGATGACATCCCAAGTTTACATCGAAGAATGCCTGAAAAAGCGTGTATTGCCGTTCATTCGCAAGCATAGGGGCAAAGTCGTCTTTTGGCCCGATTTGGCCAGCTGCCACTACTCCAAGGTGGTTTTGGAATTAACCACTTCATTCGAGCAGTTAAAATGACGTTTAGTACCACTCGAACTTTGAAATAAAACATTATTTTGAGATGTTTTATTCTAGAACCACGAGAAAAGTAGGAAAGATTTGCGCGTTTCATAAAAAAAAATTGAAATTAGTTGTTCCAGTTTTGTCAAATCGCTGGTAGAAAGTCACGCCAAAACTGCTTGGGAAAGTGGTCTATTGCCCGGAATTTCGACCAATACTGGGCAATTTCAAAGCAGCGACTTCGAAGAATCGGCGGGGCAATCAAGGATATCCAGCAAATGCGGGCAAAATGGAAGAAATGCGCTGATTCCGTGTCCGTTTCCACTGTGCTGGCGCTGATGGCTCCATCAAGAGGAAGGTTCGGGATTTAGTTCGTACTGGAGAAATGTAACCATCGAATGCTGTAACTTTGAAGTTTTAATAAAAGTCCTGTAAAGCAACCATTAATGGACATTTAAAACTTACTGAATCACGAATTACAGGTCTTTCTGTGCGTACCAGCCTTTACTTGGTGAGCAATAAAGCAACAAAAACACACATTGCCCGAGCAAAGTCGGTTAACAAAATGAAAGCAAATCGATATTAAAGTGTGCAGTTCCTATCATAATGAAAACTCATTTTGATTTCAAATGTTGCGACATAAGTCTGATATCATATTGTGCTTTCGTTATGCAGTCAAGACGTTTTAAATGAAAGCAACTTAACTTGAAGTTCTGCTGTTTACGTCTTGTTTAAAATTTAATTGAAATTCATCTGTCGTTGAACTAATGATTATCGTTTATCTGATGTGTGACCCGCGGTGAGATTGGAGCCTAAGTATTTCAGCTTGAGAAACATGAATGGTAACCATTTACTCTAGGCCCGTATTCAGTTAAACATTATGAATGCAAAATCAGTAATCAAATTGATTTCATTGAAAGCAGGATTAGTTTTCCGTTTGCTTCAACAGTGTAAAATTTTGCTCTCATTTTTGCTGTGTTAACCGCCCGAAAAAAAAATTACAGTGAAATTTTCAGTGGAAACAATGCTCTAACATTAATATTTATTGTTGACAATAAAAATGATTGTTATAATGTTGTACCCTTCCGAAAACGGCGAAACTGCTACCTAGCTGTACAATGAATATACATAATAAAATGTTGTTACAATGATTTTTATTGTATTTTTCATTTATTTTATTGTTAACATGATTCGATCACGAACAATAATGAACAACTCTATTACAATAAAAAATGTTGTTACATTAAATATTGTTGTGTTTTTATTGTGGGTTACTTCACGAACAATAAAAATAAACCTGATTGAAGCATGCTATGAGACTATGAGAGGGTCAGCAACACTGCCAATGTAATCAAGATAGGCGCTGCTCGTATGGCTCTTGCTTTGACAGTTCGTTTGGCTCTATTCGTTGCCAAGTCAATTGAACGCCTACGACCAGATCGGTTTGAGTTGAACTCAACTCTCCTGTCTCATCTAAATCCCGCTTAATGCAGACCTTTTCCGTGCAGTCAACAATCACACAGTAACCGCAAAATACTAAAGCCCTACAGTAAAAGTATGGACGACTGTCACCACAAAACTGAAAAAAGCTGTTCCAATCGAGCAAAGCGGTGCATTTTGACGGTTCGATTGGAACAACTTTTGACAGACGTCCATACTTTTACTATAGGGCTTTACAAAATACCCAATAATGACTACAAAGTAAGCATTTTCGAGGGAAACTGGGACTACCCATTAAATGAGTAAAATTTTACCCATTTATGAGTAATAATTATGAGTAATAATTACTCATAAATGGGTAAAATTTTACTCATTTAATGGGTAGTCCCAGTTTCCCTCGTAAATGCTTACTTTGTAGTCATTATTGAGTATTTTGCGGTTATCGTGCATACAATAATAATAAAAAAAATCTACC